ATTCATGTATCGGAATTTTTAATTTTTAACGCTCAAAAATTTTAAAAAATTCAAAACTAGAAATTATTCGCCATCCAGTGGTCATACACGGACGAATTTATATTCATTGGATTCGTCTCACTGAGACGCGTCAAATGGTGCTAAGATCATGTCTCTAGTACTGATCAATAGCTTTCTAATTCCAATTATTTATAAATCATTAACATGGGTTAACGTGTGATCTATCGATGCTAGAGACATGATCTTATCGCCATTTGACGCATCTCATTGAGATGAATCCAATAATATATGACTCGACTTTGTAATATCACTAGATGGATGGCTATTCAATTTTTCACATTTTTATAAAAAATCAGATTAAACTGAACTGAACCGCCAGTTTTTCAGTTCTAATACCCAAACTGAACTGAACTGAATTTTGAGCCAGTTTCAGATCAGTTCCCCAGTTTAGCCTGAACTGTTTAGAGCTTTAATCTGAACTGACCCAAAAAAAAATATTAGTTTAGGTTAATCAGGTAATCTGATTTAATCTAATATATGCAAAGCTTTAATATAAATAAATATTGAATACAGTCTTAATAAATATAATGTAAAGAAATATTCAAGGTGCAGCTTTTCAGAATAAAGTATATTTTCATCTTTATATTCTAAAAATTGCTCTTTCCCATTTTTTCAAACTCATTATAAAAATATAAGTTATAAGGATTAAAGGCAATCTAATAAATGAACCTAAACTTCAAGTATATAGTAAAATTGGAATTTATATAATATTAACTTTATTTGTTTTTATTAATAAGTTTGTAATTTCCATTTCTTTTTTTTTTATTAGCTTTATATTAGTTTAAGTGTCTGCTTATTTGCATTTAATAGATCAAATAAAGAAGTTGTAAAATTTTATTAAAAAAAACTACAAGAAGAAATAAAAGAGATTTTATTAATCATATTGTTTATCATAATTGGGTCTTTGCAATAGAAAGGTACAAAACTCAAAAAAAATTTTAATTTTACTTTATATACTAATTATGTTTTTTTTACTGAAATAAATGCAAATTTAATATTAATTCAATTTTTAATTTTTTTTGAATTTCGTACCTTTCTATTGCAAAGACCCCAATTATTATTATTATTATATATAAAAATATTTATCAGTATAAAAATTAAAAAATGATTAATAATATAATTATATATTTATTTTTTATTAAATTGCTTAAAAATATAGTATATGTCGATCATTTTTCATAAGTGTGCAGTGGCAAATAATTTTGATCACATGAGGTTTCAAAAACTCGGTACAGTACACAAAAGTAGGGTTTAAATCGAGTTTTTCTTTCACTGACATATAATAATATGATACATATTCAATAATCATATTACTATTGTAAAAAAATTTTGAACTATAAAAAATAAGTTCAAAGTATTGTTCTTTTAATATTTAAAGATAATATTATTTCAAATAAATAACTAATAATAAACAATAGCAATTTATTGATTGTATAAGTATACAGTTAAACCTCTATATACTGATATTGCTGTTTTGGGGAAAAAGCATTGGTATATCAAATTATCGGTTTATAAAAAAAATTTTGTATACCGATATTATTATAAGTAACGTGATTAATATCGGTATAAATATTTTAATATATATAAACATGCAACTTTATTCTATATTTATAAAATTCAAAAAATTTATTAACAAAATTGTATCAATTATATCAATTATGTATTACATTAGGGATTAGAAGTAAATATCAATTATATAATTACATTATTAGGATTAGAAGTAAAATAGCTATCTAATGTAGCCTGCTTTAAATCGGTGATATGTGATCTTAATACTTCATGTCTCAATTTTTGTAATGTATTTAATTCACTTTGATTAATAGAATTATTTAAAGATGAATATTTAAAAAACATAACAAGATCATCCAAATCATTTAAGGACTGAACTTTTGAAATTACCGATGGAATTTCTTCATCAGATTCAACTTCTAGTTCATTTTTATCTAAATTTACTAAAGATATAATTTCTTAATCAGTCAGCCCTTAATTACTTTTTAGATGATCATCAATATGAATAAATTCATCCGCGTCCATATGATCATCAAATGGGAGTTGATCAATTAGAAATTGTATTTCTTCCCGTTCCACTTGATTATTATCTTCTCCTAATTGATTAACACTTTCATTCACTTTCTCTTGATTTACTAATGGAAGTATACCTGTATGCTTCCAACAATTATAAATTGTTTCTTGTGTTACTGCATTCCAAGCATTTGTACAAAAAACAATAGCATCATGAATATTTAAAGAATCGGCTCCTTTATTCAATTGCTGTGAGATTTCATATGCTTCAACCCTATTTTTTACAAGGAGTTTTCGATAATTCGCCTAAAATTAAGTGAGTGTATGTTAAAACATTAAAAAATAATAAAAGAAAAAAAAAAATGCTAACCTTAAAGGAATTAATGATTACTGCATCGCATGGTTGCAAATGAGAAGTAGTATTTGGCGGTAAAAAATGTAGAGTTACATTTGTTAATTGGGTATTTTCATTTGTAATATACACAGGAGCATTATCAACCAGCAATAGAATTTTGCGATTTTGCAATCGCATTTTTGTATCCAATTTTTTGAGATAATCGTTCCAAATAGAGACCTGCATCCACGCTGTTTTATTCCAATAATAATTAACAGGTAAATCATCTTTTTTTTTACCTTTTAGTGCTCGTGGATTTTTAGAAGTATGAATAAAAAATGGCATTAATTTATCTGTTCCAGTTGCGTTACATGTAAGAAGAATTGTAACTCTTTTTTTTGATTTCTTTTTTCCAGAGAGCGGACCTCTTGCTAGAGTTTTTGAAGGTTCAAGATCCCAATATAAACCTAAAATAACAAAAAAAAATATCAACACAAATAAGTGCATGTAAAATCTGAAAAATTCAGTATTTACCTGTCTCATCACAATTAAAGACATCATTTAAATCATAATCCTTAATTATTTCACGCAACTTTTGTCTTTCTTCATTTAAAGTTTCAAGTGGAGCACTTGCTGCTTCACCACACTTAACATATTCTTTCATGTTATGACGTTTTTTAAAATTAGAAATCCAACCATTAAAAGCTTTAAAATTATTAACTTCAAAACTCCTAGCAAAAAATTCTGCTTTTTCACGTAAAATATCAGTATTAATAACAAGATCTGCTTCAAGCGCGTTTGTAACCCATAGTGTCATAGCTTCCTCCACTTCTGGAAATTGCACAGGCCTTTCTCTTTGTTTTTTACTTTCCTCAGAGTCTAAATCTAGAAGTAAACACTTATCTTTATTCTTCAAAATATCAGAAACCGTGTTCTGTTTAATGCCATATTGAATAGCAAGTTGTTCTTGGGTAAGTCGTGGTTTTTTCTGATAGTCTAAGCAAAGTTGATACTTTTGTGCTTTTGTTAAAGTCACTCTTTTTAGTGACTGTGAAAGAGTTTGAAAGGCTTTTCTTTTTTCCGACATTGAGAAAAGGGAAAATCGAGTAACTTCATTTACGCGATCTAACCATAAATAGTTAATATATCGGTATATAAACCAGATCTACATATACGTTACTATATGAGGGACAAACAAATAGTATCGAATAACGTTATATCGTGAAATCATATAAAAAATCGGTATAACGAGGTTTTTTATTAGATAAAAAACGGGGAAATTAAAAATCATCGGTATAAGCAAATATCGGTATATATTGTATCGGTATACAGTCTAACCTCGATATACCGATATTCGATATACCAATATACTATTAAAAACTTGATATACAGATAAAATTTTATTTTCCCACTATATGTGAGGACATATAAATATCGGTATAACTTTGATATAACGATATTTTCTAAAAATTTCATATATGTCCCAACATATCGTTATATAAAGGTTTGACTGTATAGAGGTCTGACTGTAATATAAAATTACTTAATTACACTTACTGTTAAACAATTCCTACCTATTCTTTTAAATTATAAAGAAAAAGCTTAAATAACCTCAAGTCAAAAAAGTATTTGTTAGTTTAGTAAAAAAAATATGGAAGCTGGAAAGTAATAATAAAATTTTTATGAAAAAAAGGCAAGAAATAAAATTAAATGAAATTTAACAAAAATATGTATGAAGAATGGTTATAGTTGAACTTTTTAATAAAAGAGAGAAAGAGAGTAAAGCCAGATGAAATTTAATAATATAAAATATGAGAATCAACAAAATTTTAAATAAAATTTAACAAAAAAAAAATATGTATGAAAGTAAAAGTTCAATGAGATAAGGAATGATATTAAATGAAATTTAACAAAATATGTATAAAATTATTTTAATTGAAATTTTTTTAATGAAAAAGAAAAAGGGATCAAAATTAGATGAAGTTTAATACAAGTTGAAAGTGAGAATCAATAAAATTTTTGAAGAAATAAGGTAAAAAATCAACTCAAACCCACTGATCTATAAGTTAGCAATAAGTATTTTAATATATTTTCTCTTTTTTTTGTATATAACAAATTTGAGATAGGCAGGATATGATGGTAACAAAGCCAGAAGCATATTAAAGGAAGACTTAAGAATAAAATTCAGAGTTTTGGCTAAAATTAGCGTGAGTTGTTTAAATAACTTTTTCAAATTCTATATCAGCAATTTAAAACAAGTTGTATAAAAAATTATTTATTTATTTGAATAAAAAATAGTATAAAGAGAATTAAAGATCTTATTAATTGTATATTTTAAGCAAGAATATGAACGAAATTATTACCTTACTGTGACTATATAAAACAAAAATCTTTACTATTTTTTATAAAATGCACGAACTTTATTAATAAGTATCTTTACAATAAGACTTAAAGAAGAAGCGAAAGAAAGAGCTTATTAAATGCATAAAAAGCAAAATATTTATATAATAAATATTAATAATTTTATACAATAAATATAGTAATTATTCCTTTAAAATAGTTTGAAATAAATTTTGAAATTGTAATGCTTTTAATAAAGAAACCAAAGTATTACATGTATGTTCTTTTAATAAATCGATCGACATCAGTAACTGGAGAAACCAATAAAATTCCTATTTGCCCATTCGCAAAAAAAAGCTCATTCACAATTTCATATGAAGGTTTTCAAAAAAGGTTATTAAGTAATAATAACTTTTTAAATCAAAATAACATTCTTCTAGTTCATAGCTTTCTAACCATGTAAGTTTTATTCTTTTATGTTAAGTATTATGAAAGTTTATATTACACAGGAAATTAGAGTTACGATTTGCCATATTGATTTATATTTTATAATAAATTATCACGTGATTTTCTATACCTTTAATAATTGAAATAGTTTTGCAATATAAAAAATATTGCAAAATATTTTTTTATCAAATCATAACATTTTTATAAAAATTTTTTAATTAAATTAATTAATAAAAAATGTTTTCACAATATTTTCTATTAGTGAAAAATTTTTTATTAAATTACTCAGTTTTTATGATTAAATCTAATTAGTATAAAATACAAAATATTGAAAATTTATAATATTAAAAGTATTATATAAATTAAATAAATACATATACTAATATAATAATATTTATTCTTTATGTTTTAAAAATGTAGCTAATTGTTTTACTTTAATTATGTAATATCAAATGTATATTAGTAGTTTAAAAAATATTCTTTAACTGATTTAATAAAAAAATATTATAAAACATTTTTTTATTTGTTAAATTATATATTAAAAACTTTACATTATTTTTTAACTATTTTTAATAAAAAATATTGCTTGTTAAAAAACATTTTAAATATTTTTAAAAAAAGTTTCACAATATTAAAAGTGGTTCACAATACTATTATAATTATATTATTAATCATTATGTTGATAAATATTTTTTTTATATATAATGATTAATAAAAAATATTTTTGCAATATTTTCTATTAATGAACCATTTTTTTATTAAATTACTCAGTTTTTATAATTAAATCTAACTAGTACAAAATACAAAATATTGTTTGTAATATTAAAAGTATTATACAAATTAAATAAATATATATATTAATATGATAATATTTATTCTTTATACTTCAAAATGTGGCTGATTGTTTCACTTTAATTATGTAATATCAAATGTATATTAGTAATTTAAAAAAATATTCTTTAATTGATTTAATAAAAAAATGGTACAAAACATTTTTTTATTTGTTAAATTATATATTAAAAACATTTTACATTATTTTAACAAAAAAATATTGCTTGTTAAAAACATTTTAAATATTTTTAAAAAATGTTTCACAATATTAAAAATATTTCATAATACTATTATGATTATATTATTAATCATTTTTTAACTTTTATGCTGATAAATATTTTTTTTATATATAATGATTGTTAATAGTTTGATCAATAAAATCTCAATTTTCTAAAATGATGGTATATGAAATAACTTCTTCTACTTCTTCTTGTAGTTCTTCTCAACAAGATTTTATATTTGATTCATTAGATGCAAATAAGCAGGCATTTATAGAATGTATCAAAGTCATTGAAGCTAATATAGAAGATATTATTATTAATAAGGCCAATGAAAAAGAAAAAAAATGGTGGATTGATGGAAATTACAAATTTATTGATGAAAACAGGTAAGGTGTATACTGTATAAATCCTATTTTTACTGTCTGCCTGAAGTTTAGATTTGTTTATTAGATTGCCTTTAATTCTTATGGAAAATGTAACCTACGATGAGTTTGAAAAAAAGTGTGAAAAGGCAACTGCATCAAAGTTCTGGGAATATAGAGACAAAAATGTAATTATAATTGAGCTTCCAAAGGGGGATTATGAAGTAGCACATAGAGAATTTATTAGACAATTTATACGTCAGGATCCTCAGGATATAGTTAGAGATATAGGATCAAAAAGTATGTATTCTTCAGTTTTTAATTTATGTATATATGATATTATTATATTGATTCTAACTCTTTAGTATTTATCTTGTTATTCTGCAGGATTTAAAGGATCCAAAGGATCTAGCAAACAGGCAGATGTTTCACTTGTTCCAAAATATTTGCCTAATCTGCCTAAATATCTAAGTGATTCTGAGGTAATATTTTTTTTATTTACATTAGTAAAAATGCAAATATTGATCTAATTTACAATGATCATAGGGTAATACCTGGCCTACTATTATTTGTGAGACAGCAAGCACCCAAAGTCTTAAAAGCATAATTCAAAAAACTACCAAATTTTGGTTGGCACCAAATCGGGTGGAAGATATTATTATTTTTAAATTGTGGCCTTCAAAATTGGGAAGGAACCAAAACAGAAACCTTTTACGCAGGCTAACAGTTTAGTATTTGTATTTAGCTTTATTTATTTCATTTGCCCAATAATTGTTCTATATTTTCAATAGTGTTATAAATTCTGTCGCCGAACAAGCCCTAAAGATGTGTGTGGAAATTATCAACCAATACAAGTGGTAAGATTAGTATTTTTGTGGCAATTGATTTCTATTTGATTCACAATATAAAGTATAAACTTTGTGTATTTTATAAGATTGAATTTGGAACAATTAATTCAGATGGGAATCCATATTATGGATGTTCTACTCTAGGAAGTTGCACCTTAAGTATTTCTCCACATTGTATTTATAAAGGCTGTACTTATCCATATCCTCTTACGGATGATGTAGTCATTGATTTATTTAGCATCCAGCAGGAAATATTTGCAGTTATGAAGAAAGATGTTATTAGGAAAGATATTATTAGGAAAGTTGTTATTAGGAAAGATGTTATTAGGAAAGATGTTATGAAGAAAAATGTTATGAAGAAAGGAGTTATGAAAAAAAGATTTATAAAGAAAAAGTGATGTGTGCTTATATCTTACTAGTAGCAAATGATTTTTTTAAAAAAATTCAGTGCATGTTTTTTGCAAGATCATTGGAGAAAATTATATAATAAAATGAATTAGGTAGTGAATGCACTTTTACTACATTAAAAATAATGAAAAAGCAAAATATATGATGTGCTTTCAAGAGAGGGAGCAAAGAAGAGAACTTAAATAAATTGACACTGCTATATTATTTCTTTGCTATATGGAAATTTCTAAAGCTAATTTGTTTCTATGATTAATAACTACAAGATTTCAGATTTTCAAGATAAATTATCCCACTCATATCTTTTGTCTATTTATATCACTCCCAAACAAACCATATAAAGGATTAAGTTTCGCAGGTGAACTTTTCTTAGATATAATTTCAAATCTACGGTACAACATAAATTTCGGAGATTCTAAGCGCCTGCTCATCTGCATCTAATGGATCAGATAAAGAGGTTATGAAACCTTGTTGAGAAGAACTACAAGAAGTAGAAGTTGTTTCGTATAACATCTTGGAAAATTGAGATTGTACTGTGTTGATCATACGATCATTATACTTTTCTTATTTTTCTAAGCTGCGGCTAGGTAGCTGTAGTTTATTTCTTTTTTAAATATTTTTTTTGTTATTAACTTACAAGCAAAAACTCAGAATAATTGTAAATGAGTAAAAAGGTCAAAATAAAGTTACTTATAAAATACCTTTAGGAAGACATCATTGATCGGTATGAAAAAATCAATTTCAGTTTACATTTCAAATATTATAATGACGTCAATCATTTAACTTTTTTTTTGCTAGGATAAAAAATATAAGTATGAATTATATCGTCAAACCAATTTCAGTAATATAGAATAATCAAAATAATTTTTTTAATGCATTTTCAGTTGAAATATATGGAACAATTAGCTAATTTTGCATCCTTAATTTTTTCTTAGAATAACGAATGGTTATTTCATCACCTCCGGGTTGAATTCCATTCATTATTTCTAATTTAGATGCATTAAAATGTTGTACATCAATTTAATGCTGTGCAAAGATGTAAATATGATAAGGACTGAGACAAAGCATTTTTATGGAGTAGATGGTTTCTGTTCTTTTTTTTTTCTTTATTTTCATAGATTAAATTTTGTTTTTGTTAGATTATTTTTCTTTTATACTTCTTTTTATTTCTTATTTGTGGCATTATAGAGTTTATATTACGGACAGATCAAGATAAATAGGTCATATCGTCATATCGGCTGATTGGAAAAATCAAGCCAATTAATATTTAAGCTCAGTTGATAAAATTATGGGAGGCTTTTCTGATCAGCCGATATGTCGACTCAACTTTGATACCACATTTTTCTTTAAAATATTTGCTAGTTGGATAGGATGGATAATTAGATCAGTGGATTTAACTTATATTACACCAAATTTTAAACTTGGAAATCGGCGAGAAATAAATAATAAAAATATTTTAATTGGGTTAAAATCTTATTAAATTCCTTTTAGTCATATATAATGTTATATATAAATATTAGAAAAACTCATGCTTTATTTTCAACTTATATTCGTAAATAGCACCAAGAACAGGTTAGAAATGAACGCCGATTACATTTATTAAGTATTGCTATAACCGGATAAGGGGACAGACAAATGATTGGCTGAGCTGATTTTAGCATTAAAATTTACGACATTTACGTGCAATCACTTTACTCTCTCTTTCGCATATTGATTGTTGTTTGATGTCGTGGAATCCTCCCCCAGGTGCTCCCTCACAATTTGGGCAACCAAGGCCAAACATTTATGTAATGAGCTCAAAATTTATTGATTCACTAATTTTTTTTGTGTTTAATCGAAAAAAATTTCTTAAACATTTCTTACTCATTTTAACTCTTCAGCCACCGCAAAGACCCGGCTATCAAGCTTCTCCATATGCTCCACGTCCAGTTCAAAATCAGCCCTTTGTACCTGGACAAGCTCCTTTTGCACCTCAGCCCGTACGATCTACTTTTATTTATTATATTTATTCTTTCTCCCTTTACAAAAAGCTGAACTCTTTTATTTTTTAGATGCAAATTTGGACAGAACATACTTCACCTGACGGACGTAAATATTATTTCAATTCAATTACTAAACAAAGTAGTTGGGACAAACCTGATGAATTAAAAACTTCCGAAGAGGTAATAGTTAAGCTAAAATAATTTTATATATGATAAATTTGAATTGAATTTCTCGATGTTTCAGTTAGCACTAGGTTCTTGTGCTTGGAAAGAATTCACAGCAGAAGGTGGTCGCAAATATTATTATAATTCTATCACAAATGAATCTAAATGGGAAATTCCGCCTGAATATAAAGGTAAGTAAATGATTAATAAAGCATTATAATAATTTAATAATATAATTAATTGTTGTTATTTTCATCTCATTCTAGAATTTCTCGAAAAGTTGGAAAGAGATAAAAAGCCATCGTATGATTTTGTTATTATTTTTGAATTGGGATTTAAAGTGTATCTAATTCTTTTCTGGTATTGTATTTTAGGCATATTGAAACTTCACATCAATCAAATGGCTCAATTGTTTCACCAAATCAACAAGATATAGAGCGCGCTAGACAACTGAGTGTTCCTTCTGTTAGTCCTGTTAATGTTACTCCTGTAAATGTACCTATAAGACCAATGGGAGTAGCTGCTCCTGTGGTTAGTCCTAATATACCCATACCAATTCAACAACCTAAACTTCCAAAAATTGAATTTGAGACTAAAGAGGATGCTGAGGCAGCTTATCGAGAATTGCTTAAAGAATCCGTAAGTCTTGCTGAAAATGAATCCTCGTTTAATTTTTTGATTTTTTTTTTAAACTTATATTTCTTTTTCAGGGTGTTAAAACAGATTGGACTTGGGAACAAACCATGAGAGCAATAATAGCAAAACCTATGTATCGTGCACTTAAAACATTAGTAGAACGGAAACAAGCTTTTCAAGATTATGTAGATGACCTCAGAAAAAAGGAAGAAGTAAGTTCTAGGATTATATTATTGGATGGGGGAATGGTGAAAATGTTCACGTGGCCATTTTCACCGCGACATAGATAAAAATGTCGGTTAGACATTGTGAACGTTTGAGTATACTTATCTTATGTATTTTTACGTTACATTACAGGAAGAAAAAAGAGCGAAAGCCATTAAAATTCGGCTAGATTTTATTTCCCTACTTGAAACGCATCCAGAAGTTAATTCTTCTACTCGTTATCGGTATTGATTTAAATTTTTTTTTATTATGTACTCAGTAATATCACGAATAAAATTAACGGTCAATGTTGTTTCTTTCATATTTTAGAAAAGTGTGTGAAGTTCTGAGTGAAAAGACGGCATTTAAAGCTGTTGAGGATGATCGATTACGCGAAGAAATTTTCAGTGAATATATTTATGATCTTCGGAAACAAGAAAAGGTAAACAACTTGATTAATTCATTAAGATAATTTATATATTAAATTAAAATTTGTTTATGCAGGAAGTACAAAGAGCTATTCGTAAAGAGAATATGGAAAAGTTTAATCAACTTCTAAAATCACTTCCGAGTATTACAGAAACTACACGATGGGTGGATGCTCAACAAATATATGCTAATACTCCTGAATATCAGCAAGATAAAACCCTTCGAGAAATGGATATGTTAGATTTTTTGGCTGTATATGAGGAGCATATTAAAATTTTAGAACGTGAAACAGCTGATAAGAAAAAACGAGAACTTGAAGAGCAAACTAGACAACAGCGAAGAAATAGGGATGCATATAGAACTTTGATGAACGAATTGCGGCAGAAAAATGTGATAAATGCTAAATCGAAATGGAAAGAAATATATCCATTAATTCATACTGATGAGCAGTATCAAAATATGCTTGGGCAACCTGGATCAAATCCTCTTGAATTATTTTGGGATGTAGTCGAAGAACTTGATGAAATATTATATCAGCAACGTAAAATTGTTACTGAAATTATGAAGGTAATTTTTTGTAAATCTGTAAATCGTAATTTTTTGGTTTAATCACACAATAACCTTATATATACATTTGTATTAAATAAAAGACAAAAGATGTCACTATAAATTCTGGAATGTCATTTGAACAATTTCAAGTCGCATGTAGTTCAGATGATCGTATTTCTTCAGTAAATGAAACCAATCTAAGGATAATCTTTGAACAGGTATTGTTTTTAAAAATTTCGTTCATTTTCGTTATAATTATGATTAATACTATTTTTATTTGTGATAATTGAAGTTACAAAGAAAACAAGAAAGAAGACAACGTAGAAAATTAGATGCATTTAAAACAATTCTTAAGCATTTTGAAGCAAATATCACGCCTGATGCTACTTGGGAGAAGGTGCGATATGAAATTTTTTTTTTTTTTTCCTCAACATTATATTCGTAATATTACAATTTAAATACAACTTGATTATTTATCAAGTCATCGAGACTCATTTGTTTATGATTGAACATTTTGGAACAATTTCATTTTATTATTCTTGTCATTGGGCTTTTTACGGCTTGTTTTTTATTACATTTTTTTTTTAATAGGTACGACCAATAATTGAGAAAACCGAAGAATTTCAAGCAATAGAATCTGAGGAGCAACGTATTGAAGTTTTTAATAAATTTATCGAACGGATCAAGGTAATAAAAAAAAAAAAAAAAAAAAAAAAAAATTTTATAAATTGATTTCATTTATTTACACCTATATATATTCATTTATTTTTATTATAAGGAAAAGATTCTGAAAAAAGGGGATGATAGTGAAGAAGAAGAAGGTACTCTTAAAGATGATGATCTTGATGATGATCGACATGTGTCTGGCGAACGTAAAAAAAAGCATAAGAGTAGTCATCGATCCTATCATCACCGAAGATCCCATCATTACTCTGATTATTCGGCTGAGAGTGGTGATTATTCAGATAGAGAAAAGGATAGTAGTGATAAACGTAAACGACGAAAGGTAAATTAAACTTGCCAGGTCTATATTATATGTAAGATCGAGTTGTTTATATTATACAAAAAATAAAATTCATTATTATATACTTTAACATTTAAAATTAGCAAAAATCCAAAATTGAAACAAGATATGCAGAATCTAGGTATCAAGAATATAATAGATATAATGAACAAAAACATAGTGATTATATATCTCATTCTTCAAGATCACCTACTAGAGTTCACCATGATTATAAAATTCATTCCCCTAAACAAGAAACTGTTTATAAAAATATATCACCTAAATCAGAAGAAATATTAAAATCTCAATCGCCCAAAAATGATGAATCTCAAATAGAAGTCATCAAACATGATGATTCAAGCGCGGAAGAAGGCGAGTATGTAGAATAATAAAAAAAACGATTCAGTCTTATTCAATATTCACTCCACTATTGTCAGTGCTATATTTTAGTTATAAGCAAATTCTTGAAGTATGAGGCTTTGTCATTTTGGATTACAATGATAGAAAGGTGAGATTTAGAATAAATGTGAATTAATTGATCATTATATAAAATTTGATAAATAAAAATATACCAAAAAGTTTTATCGAGCAAATTATACAGCTATCAAAATTACCGATCATTGGAATGAAAATATTTGATGATAATTTTTTTTAAAAAAGGTAAGTGTTACTACATCTATTTACAATAATAAATAATTTATGTACACAACTTTGTAAGTATAAATTATAATAAAAAAATGTAACATTTCTAAAAAAGTTATTATTAAAATTCTGCTGTGACATCCGAATTATTTCGTTAAAAGATTAAAGATTTCTTATCTTTGATAGTTTCTACTTAATTTGTTAATTCTTTGATGCGGAGATATACATTTTCAATAAAGAATTATTTTTAGGGTTAATGTGAATTGAAGATCATTAATGCAATATGTATTATGGCTTGGGAAAAAATGTGGGGAATTCAAAATTTCTTCCCATTCACAACTTAATTTTACATAAATTACATATATATATTATATATATTGCGTAATAAATTTGTACGATGGGAATATTTATAATAATAGTAACTTTTTTTTTTTCGGTTATCATGTTCAATCAAAGAATAAACCGGTTTTTCATTTCTATGAATTCCTTTGTTTGAGAAACGAACTATTATCTACATGTAACTAATAAGAGGAAGGGAGGAAGGTTATTTAGACCTGATATATATTTTGATTAAAAATAACATAGATAAGGTAAGTAAGTACATATGTATCACGTATACGACTTTAAAAAGTACAGTATATGATGAATAGATATATCCAATGAGAATTAAAGAATAAACGGTTTATTAAACAAAGAATTTTACGATTTGACGAAATTTAAAATTCACCACTAACTTTTTAAAGAAAGTTTCAAAAAAAAAAAAAAAAAAAAAATCAATTATTTTTATTAAGTTCCTGAGTTCTGTCAAAAATATCACGTGAAAACAATTAATTAAAAATTTCTTATCTTTAACCGTCATCACCCGATAAAAGTTAAAAATGGATCTACAAATGGTCCTGAGTCGAAAGTTCCAAAATAAGGAGACTAACACACGACCTTCTCCGCATACTAAACTTAATTAAGTTAAGTGTAAATTTAAAGAAGAATTGGTCCGTTCACTCGGTTTAAAATTACTTAGTGTAACACGTGTATACATATAGAAATGTGATTAGTATGAAAAGAAGCATATATTCTAGTATGAAAATTTTAAAAGAAGCATATGATCGAAATATTTTGATGGTGATACAATACCATTATCTCAGAAAGTGATTGAAGTTTTGGGAGTAAGAGAATAATAGAAATAAGAGAAACAAGGAGAATAGATTTTTTGAGGGAATTCATCGCACTTGTACAGTATATACAATATTATATAATGTAATACAAAAAAAATAAAAATAAAAATAAAAAAATTAAAATTTTTTAATTGTGAATATATTTTCCCCACATCTTTTTTTTAACATGCATATAAAGTGTAAACAAAAGCAAATTATTTTCCGAAAAAAAATTTAAATGAAATTTATGAATAAGTCATTATTCGTATGTTGTGTATGAGAGAGATGATAAAGTGTGAGAAATAACCATGAGAATAAATGTTGTGATGTTATGTAATATGTAAAAATTTTCAATCCACTTTATTAACGTTTATTCAACCTGCTAAATCATTGTATTGTACAAATGTACGAAATTGTACGAAATTTAATTGGTATGTACAGTAACAGCAAGATTTTTTTAATGATGTGTACAACAACAACAATATGATACAATATTATTTTTTTTTGTTTCTCATAATTTTCACTTGATAATAATGACAATAAAAAAAATTTTCTAAAATGAGTAAAATAACAATATTATATATAATATAATACACAACATAAATTCGTTTTTTTTTCTTTTTAAGCATAGTACCTAAATAAGCGGCACAATATATATATTTTATTTTTTTTTGTTTTTGTTAGTATGAACTCATTATACTTTTTTAAAACATTGTAACTAAATTAGGAAACGTAAAAGTGTGGGGTAAAAAAAAAAAGAAATCTATTTTTTTTTTGTTTACTTATAATAAATATTTTTATTATTTTTTTTTTTTTTGTGGGGTGAGAAAAAAATAATTACCTTAATTATATTAGTAGTTATAATAAGCGGTATGTTGCAAATCTTGGCTTAATTTAATTTTTTTTGAATTTTGGCGCAGTAAGTTTTTCATGGAAATTTTTTATGAAAATTGGTTCAATATAATATTTACAAAGTAATTTATTTGAACTGAATAAAAAAAATCAATATAGTTATATATTAGATACATTAATATTATTCGCTTATGTGATTTTTTTTTTTTGTACGTGAGAATTATATAGTGCAAGAGAGAGAAAAGAAAAATATCGTTTATTTGTTAAAAATTGGTTGAATTCAAGATTATGACTCAGTTCTTACTCAGATAACTTTGACTCGGTACCAAACAAAATTCAGCCAAATAAATCAACCTTTCTTCTTTTCTTTTTGGGCGATGTAATATGATCAAGTCACGTCCCTTTTTTAGTTTATTTAATTTCAATCGATTTTCTTCAAACGATTGTATTTTTTTTTTTTTNAGCAGTTCAAATGATATTTTAACTACCATACCCAATAACTGTGTTATTATGTAAACACTGATGATCATGCTTTTATGACATCATTACTATATCATACATAGTGCGAGAATAATATTTTAAGCTATTTTTGAACTATTTTTAAACTATTTTATTCTCTGTTTCTTTTCTTTCATACTTATATTAACTATAATGTCACAAACGAAGCAAATAAATTTGAAAAGTAAAAGAAATAGGGTATTGTACACCTTTAATTTATTTTGCTTTATTTTGTTTTTTTTTTTTTTTTTTTTAACAATAACAATAATGAACAATAATGATAACAATAATTATTTTTATTTTATTTTTTTTTATTTGTTTGATTTATTTGGTAATATTTTTGTCATACGAAGGAATTTTTAAATCGGTTTTTTTTAAAAAAAAATTTAAAAATAAAAAAAAATGAATAAAATGATATTTTTGGAAAATATTGAAAATATTAACTTAGTAAAGCAGATAGATATTTTTGGAAAATATTGAAATATTAAATTAGCAAAGTAGATATTTTTGGAAAATATTGAGAATATTAACTTAGTAAAGTAGATATTTTTGGAAAATATTTGAAAAATATTAATTTAGTAAAGTAGATATTTTTGGAAAATATTGAAAAATATTTGTTAATTACTTTATAATAAAAACTTGAATTATTGAATTACCTGTACCTCATTATTATTATTATTATTATTTACGTTTCAATATTTTTTTTTACGCAAAAAGAGAAAAACAAGTTTTTTTTTTTAAAAAAAAAATGTCTGATATAGTTCGTAATATTTTAAGTAGTTTTTGAATATTAAAGTTTTAAGTAGCTAAGTTTAAGTAGTTTTTCTTAAGTTTATGAAGTTTAGGTAATTTTGAATAGTTTTAACAGTTTGGGTAGTTTCGAATACTTAATACTTAATACTTAATATTTAATACTTAATACTTAATAAATAAAATTGTTGGGAATATGAAAAAATATGAAATTTATTTATTCGGACGTAATCGGACGTATCACAATGAAAAATTCCGGACTTTTGTGACAATTTGACGCAGACGCAGAAGCGCATAAACGCAGAAACGCAGAAACGCAGAAAATGCAGAAAAACGTAAGAATCTAGAATTTGTGACTCGGGAATATTCATTATTTTTTGAATTACGTAATTATATAATACGTATTAGATATGCATTGGGTAACGGATAAAAATAATAACAAACACCTATCTGCCGCTGATATCTTACGCAATACTTTTTATTACGCAATATTATTACTTATTATTACTTATTATTATTATTATGTATGCTTCATTATGCTTCAATTAATTTAATTAAAAAACTTTATCAAAAAACCTTATCAAAACTTAAAAAAAAATATTATTAATCAACCTTAAATTCGATCATGCGACTGATAAAGAAGACTGATAATGAATAACGGATAATGAATAACAGATAATGAATAACAAATTGATAGAATGATAAATGATAAAATGATAAATGATGAAATGATAAATGATTGAAATGATTGAAATGATAAATGATGATAAAAATAAAAAATAAAAAATAAAAATAATTCTTTTATAAAAATAATTCTTTTATAAAAATAATTCTTTTTTTTAAAAAAAAAAACGGTAAAATGATACTGTATTTCGAAAAGATTTACTTTGAAATATATATATATGTAATTTTATATTATATATCATATTCTATTATTTATTTATTCATTTATTTATTATTTCATTAAAAAACGGTTAAAAAAAATAAAAAATTTTCTCATTGAAAAAATAAATATATACAAATATATATGTATATAAGATACATATATGTAAATTTATAAATTTTTTTTTTGACGAAAAAAAAAAAAAAAAA